TAGCAAGAAATACAAGTTATTTCTTCTTGTACCTTTCATCACCACCAGTGCCCCGTACACAGCTTTAAGAACTCCACCGTCCATGGTGATCTTGAGACCCTTGGATTCCAAAGCGCCCAATGAGATGAGATTCTTCTTCATATCCGGTACATACCGAACATCACTCAATTCTCTGACTGTTCCATCATGCAGATTCTTCTTCATATCCGGTACATACCGAACATCGCTCAATTCTCTGACTGTTCCATCATGCATCTTCAAACAGATTTTGCCTATCCCTTGTGTTTTGCAGGCATTATTATTGCCCATAAAAATAACTCCACCATCCAGCTCCTCGAAGCTAGAAAACCATTCCCGAATGGGACACATATGATAGGTGCAACCTGAATCCAAAATCCACTCCTCGGAGTGACCATCAGCAGATAAACTAGCCAAAGCAAACTCGAAATCGTCATCTCCAGATTTTGCAACATTTGCTTCAGAACTCACTTTCTCCTTCTCTTTGTTCTTCAATTTGGGGCAGTCTTTCTTCCAATGACCCTTTTGGCGACAAAAGGCACATTCATCTTTAGCAGGAAACTTCCCTCGTGACTTTGAACGAGATTTTCCCACTTCCCAGATTTTCTTTCCTCTGTTCGACCCCTTGCAACAAGTGCCTCGGTTTGTGAATTTTGAGTCTTCAATTCCTTCTTACGACACTCATGATTCACCAACGCCGCAGACACCTCCTCAAGTTTCACCTCGGATTTTCCATACAACAAAGTAGTTGTCAAATTATCATAAACATCAGGCAATGAATTTAACAAACATAGTGCCTTATCCTCGTCAGGAATTTTCACATCAAGGTTTGCTAAATCAGCAAGTATTTTATTATAATCATTGAGGTGTTCGTGCATAGGAATACCTGGACGATACTGAAATCGGAAGAGTCGCTTCTTCAAGAAGAGCCGATTTTCTGCACTCTTGGTCATATACTTCTCCTCCAATTTCGTCCAAAACTCCTTAGCAGAAGTTTCCTTCATATATGGGTATTTCAACTCCTTATCAAGGAACGATCGAATAGTGGCACAAGCATGAAGATTAATTCGCGTCCACTGCTTGTTATCAATATCTTCTGGTTTATCCTCCAGAACCATATCCAACTCTTGTTGATACAACACATCCATAACTTCACATTGTCACATACCAAAACTATTAGAGCCATTGAATTTATCAACCTCTAACCTTGTAGTAGCGATCGGATGTCTATTGGATGTAGGTGCCGAAGAAGACGATGCCGACTCCTTCTCCTTCCCAGATTCATCTTTATCTCTAGCCATCAAATCCACTCGGCACTATTCACGGCTACTGTAGCAAATCATTATTCACTGCTGCTGTTCACAGTACTGTAGAACTGGTACTGTTCACAGTATTGTAGCACGCCAATTTCCCCAGTCGGAACTGGAGCTCTGATACCACTTGTTATGCGGAAGCGTCAACCAAGCAGTGTAAGTGGATGAAAAATAAACGCCAATTGGCAAGAGATAAAATAATGAACACAAACAATACCAACAAGAACATCAAGATTTATACTGGTTCGACAATGCCTACATCCAGTTTGGAGACGACATAGTATTCCACTATAATCAATGAGAACATACAACAGTGTTTATCACTCAATTTCCCAAAGACCCAAATAACCCAAGCTCACACATTTACAATAGGAAGAGAAAACTAAAAATACAAAGCAAAGACAAATTTAGAGAAATTTTCTTCTCTCTGGCCGAATGGCTTCTTGCTGTTTTCTCTCCCTCTTCTCCTCTGTTAAAGCTGCTGCCATGCTTCTCAATTTATTGAGAAGCCAACGGGTGAAGGCCAGCTAGTCAAATTATGAGGCCAACTATGAAGTCAGAAAGCCAACCAAATTTGCATGGCTTTTGTCTCCCACGTGATCTGCCAAAGGCACAATTCTGCTGCTGTCAATATTCTTCTGCAGCTGCAAAGTTTGTTATTCTCCTGCAAAGCTGCTGCCTCCACTTGACAGCATCCTCCCACAATATTTGGTCGGCTAACACAATTCTTCCTTTGGCCATGTGATGGCTAGTGTGGCAGCCATCATGAAGAAACCATCAACACACGTGGGTGCAATTTGAGCCAATTTCAACACTTTCATCATCATTCAACGACTGTGGTTCGAAGAGGAAACCATTTTTGTCCGCATACGAAGCAACTTCTTTGTTGCGAGTAGTGAGTAAAATTCGGCTCCCAGTTTCCTCATTCATTGGAAATCCAGCTTGCAAAGAGCTCCACGCATCACTGGTCCAAATGTCATCCAGCACCACCAAACATTTCCTTTCTCTTTGCGTATTCCAAAGCCTCTCTGCTATTTGATCAATCTTCAGTTTTGCAATTTCTTGTCTTTGCTCATTGGTAGGAGAAATGAGTTTAGTCAGAATTTCTTCCAAAACCTGCCGTCCCTGGCATTGTTGAGAGATACACACCCAAGCAAAACAATCGAAATGACGCTTAACTTTGCAAGAGTGGTTTTACCCAACCCGCCCATCCCCCAAATAGAAACAGCTCGGGGGCATTCTTTCTCGATCAAAAGCTTAGCCAATGTCTCTGTTCCAGGGGCTAACCCAACCACATGAGGGTCGACAATATGAGGATAAGCTATCCTCCGTTCCTGTTGCCTCTGAAAAAAAGTGTCACCTCCACTCTCCCTTGTTTGATCTAGTTTAAAACTTGGCATAATCAAACTCAACAGTGAAATTTTGGTTGTAATTTTCTCAATGTCTGAGCCAATCTGATGAAGATTAACTCCTCTTATGAAAAGGCCAGTAAACCTTGTCAAAACACTTGCTTTCCTCTTGGAAGCGACTTTTAAGACAAAAGTTTCGATGATATCGTCAAGATCATAAGCGGCATCTCTGACACTTGCCACCCAAATGCGTATTACTTCATTGCGTCCCTGTCTTGCGTCTGCATCTTTCAAGTAGCCTTGCATGATTTGTACCTGGGTTTGTGCACTCTGAACCTCACCACCCACTCCAACCAAGGATTTCAATTCCTGAATGATAAGCTTGCTGAGCCCTTCGAGCACTACTGAAACAACAGCTTCGGCCATATTAGCAGCTTTTTTTTTTTTTCTTCTGTTTTTTTAGATTGATAAAATTTTACTGAAAACTCAAATTTAAAATAGGTTACTATATGAAATAGAGTTGTCCTAATATTATTAACTAAAGGTGGTTGGCAAACTGCCACCTTTAGCTGGTGAGCTACATGGTGCTTCAATAGTAGGGGTTCGAAACCCGTTGGAAGCACTTTGTGTCCAAGGGCAAGCCGAACCCCAAACGGGGATTAATCCCACCATTTGGGTATGAAGACACCTCTAGGTATTTCCCAAAAATAGGGGAATTCTAGCAACCTTCTCTTTTGGACCTTCTCCCTTCTCCTCATGACATGTGTCACTTTCTCTACACTTAAAACAATGTCATTAATACATTAGACAATGTATCTTTTGTTTGCCAAATTTACCCTTACTAAATGCATTGGACAAACTAACTTTTGTTTCCACCTTTTTAAAAAATTATGCAGAATTTCAATATCTTCCACAAAATTAACGTCAGTGTTTTTTTAAAAGGCAAAAAGTCACTTTTGGTCCTTATAGTTTGCCATTTTTACCACTTTGGTCCATGTCTTTTCAATTTGGTCAATTTTATCCCTGTGGTTTCAATTTGAAGCAATTCAAGAACAATCCTCAATTTATATAAAAAGAATTGAACTTCCATTAATTGTGGAAGGGCAATTCCGTCAATAAATTATTAAAAATAAATAGTATAGACAAATATAAAAAAGAAAGTAGACCAAAACTTCTCTCTCTCTCTCTCTCTCTCTCTCTCTCTCTCTCGCATCTAGACTTGGTGGGGATGGATCTTTGGGTTGCGGAGAGCAAAGAACTTAGCACGAAGACGATGGCGAAGGAACCTTTAATAGAGAGGTCTTTTACAGCTTTTCTTTTGTGCTTCAAGATAGTTATGGCATATTTTGACTTCTTCCACTCCTTGAAAATCTCAAGAAGAAAATTAAAAAAGAAGTTTCAATCCTCTTTATCAGATGCTGGGCTTTTGTTTTTTGTTTTGTTTTTTATAATAAATTTGCTTGGCAAAAAACCCCAAGTTATTTAGTTTTGGGGTTGGTATTGGCGTCTCTTCGGCAGTGGCATAAATGGTGGATTTGAGGAGGCACATCTATGGTACAAGAGAAAATATTAGAAATCTTTATATATATTTTAAGAAAAAAATGAACAAAGAGAAATGGAAGAGAATGCTCTTATCTTTAAATTTCGTTGCAGTACAGTTGCATGAATACTAATTTTAAAGCTTGTGATTTTTCAAGAAATAATGGCCTAGTCCCCAGTGAAGTTGCCATTTATGTAAGGGCCTTTTTATTCCAACAGCTCTAGGTGGAATTGGGCCGCTGTAAAGAGAGAGTGACTTTGCCCCCTTGCCTGGATTCAAGAGCTAGGCCCCAAAATACCACGAAAGAATTCTAATTCTTAGGGAATATTCTGGTCATCTTCAATGGCTTCTTGTAGGTTTTGATATATAACAGGTACTTGAATGATTTTGCATGATTTTTGCTGTATTGGAAGTGATTTTCTTGAAGTGGAACATGTGTTGCAGGTAGTGAAATAATGCTGGAAAAGATGTTAAAGAAGATGAAGTTTCTTTCAGCTGATTAAGGGCATATGACAACTTATGGAAGGCATACGACATCTGATATTGGGGCTGATACTTTGATATTATACACAGATCATATAGGCTTGACATGAGACTTTTGCTTCATCAATGTTCTTTATTTTGGCTAATCTCAAATATATTTTTTTCTCTTTCACTTGCAAATCAAATATTTTAAAAGGAAAAGTAGAAAACCAAACTCCCAAATCTCTCTCTCTCTCTCTCTCTCTCTCTCTCTCTCTCTCTTGCACAACTTCCAGTCAGAGCCGGCCTTGGGGGTGGGCGAGAGGGGCCTTGGCCATGGGCCTCCAATTAAGGGGCCCCAATTTTTTATATATATTATATATACTATTGTCCAATTTATTAAAAAAAAAAAAAAACAGAAACAACACGCAATTAAATTAGGTTTCTTCGTTTCCCACGCAGAAACAAAAACAACATATGCTTGAGGAAGGCGATTCCTCTCCTAGTTAGTTTCTCCTTGGAAGAACTCTATTTAATCCATCCATTATTTTCAGTTTCTCTCATCCTTTTTTTTTTTTTTTTTTCTCATATCATATTGTAACCTTAGGAATCAATCTCACACTAAAAAGCTCACAAATTGTCTTTGAGATTGATGGTGACCAAGAGGGGAGGAACATGAGAAATTGAAAAGGTAATCAGATTTATAATTTATTTATTTTTTATTTGTTCCTTTCCATCAAACTATTTTTTCAATTTCCAGATTATACACAAACAATGACTTTGTGTTAAGATACTTAGACTCTGCTTTATAATTGACTAAGTATGATTATGCTCTATAATTGTTTATCGTAAAATCATTATTCAAGCACTCTACGCGCTATGTAAAATCATTTTATTTGTTGTTTTTTCGCAATTGTATACTAAGGGAAGGGATCTCATTTAGTTTATGGCCTAGGGCCACCCAAAAGTTAGGGCCGGCCTTGCTTCCAGTTTGGCGAGGCTCACTTTCTCTCTCCTCCTTGCTAGATGTAGCGAGCCAAAAGTTGGTTCTCCAAAATAGAGAGCCAAGTAGGGATTCTGCTGCAGTTAAAATTTTCCTTCTTTTTAGCCAAATTGAAAACACATGATTTAATTTAGGGAGATTCACTATTATACCCAATATAGGAGCCCAAATTTGAACAATCTATAGATGCCACGCCAGTAATTTATTACCCAAGAACACCTGAACTTATTGACGGATGAATGCAATTGGATCGTACTCCTCCTGGACCTTCCACATACACAAGCACACACAACTACATTGATGAAAAACTGAAGCGCCAACTTTATGGGTGACAGACAGAGAAAAACAAGACAACGCATCTGTATGAATCTGCAAGTAACAAAGAGCAAACGATAAAACTTTGATAAAAAGACTGCTATATCCTTCCACATGTAACATATTTCTGTTCTATGAGCATCCACAATCATGCTCTCTATTTTTTAGTTAAATTTTAGCTAAAAACATATACAAGTTATTTTAGGAGCTCTCTGTAAAATTTAAACTCCAATCATGATCGCTAGTTTAAGGAGCCATAAATGCTATAACTCTTTTTTAATTGAGTGCTACTCTTTCCCCACCCACCTTATCTTCAAAATTTTAAGGACAAATTTAGCCTTTTGTAAAATGACTTTTAAGGACTTATGCCACCTTATTAAAATTTATCCAATGGATTGGAATTTTTTCATAATTAAAAAGAAAAAAAAAACTCTAATGCAACTTAACAATTTGAACCTTAACTCCTGCCGTCATTTACCTTTTTTTTCCTTTCTATTTCCTATCTCTTCATCCTCTCCCCCTTTCCGGTTTGTTTTGTTTGCAACATCTTCCCGCAATCATTTTTTTTTCTGGTCAATATCTCCCCCAATTAGTTTAGTCTTCTTCTTCTTCTTTTTTTTCTTCCTTATTTCTTATATCTATAGCTTCTCCACCCAATTGCACATGTTTGGTTTTTTCCTACTTCCTTCCTAAACCCTAAACAAACTCTCCAAAACAGAATAATTTTTTTTTTTGGTAGACTCTCTTTATAATGACTTAACTGATCTCTACATAATAATCAAAATCGTTGAAATTCAATTTAATTCAATTTAAGGTGACCTTTCATTCTCAACCCTATCTTCTTATACGCCATCTACATTTGTCATTGCTTCCTACAGCCTCTCCCAACAAACCCTCCAACTCAACAATGAGACCACCCTTCAATTCTCAGGTCTCAACCCCGAATTTTCTCAAGCCACCTCCAAAACCAACCAAACTTAGAGCAAGGAAGAGGGAAAAAAAAACCTATACAATTGGGTGGAGAAACTGCAGAGAAAGAAAGAAGAAAAAAGAAAAGAAGAATAACGGTTGCAGGAGTTAATTGTTAAGTTCCATTAAGCTTCTTTTTTATCTTTTAAACTATTATGTTTGACAAAAAGAAAATAATAATTAAAGGGTATTTTAGGAATAATGGTGGGTGGAAAGATAGGATTATGTTTTTTCAAATTTACATGATGGGTGGGAAAATAAGGTGGGGTGGGGAAATATGATAGGGGGTGGAAATAGCAGTACTCTTTTAATTGGTCCATCTCTATTAAAAAATAATTAGCATAAATTAAAATTTTGAAATACTCATTAAATAAAGTAGCATTAAATTATAGGTTATTTTAGGAGTATGGTTATACAGTGATGAAATAAAAAATCTAAACATAATAAAAGAGGTAACTTTCAAATCTCATGTAACAGCTCCCATAATAAACACACCCACCTATATTTCCAAAACTGTATTTTTGAAATTTGCGGATTGCTACTCCAAAGCACTTCTTACAAGAAATTATAGAAATGTCTCTAGTGCATTCTGCTGCACCATAAATCCAAACTATGGCCTGAGATTCGTTAATACGTAACATCATTTTCCAATATGCATAAAACTAGGGGTGGTTGCGGTTCGGTAACCGCGAATTTTTGCCCAAACCGCAAACCGACCGACTATTTGTGGTATGGTGATTTTTGAAACCGCAAACCGACCGCGTTTTACGGTTTACCGGTTACCGTGACTTAGCGGTTTAAAACCGCAAGTTCTTTTTGTGTCATAAAAATCCAACTTCTCAAGCATATATAAATTTACAATCTCCTCAACTTCTCAAGCATTCACAACCTAAAGAAAATTAAAGTTCAATTCCAAGCATTCCAATTAAAGTTAAACTTCTCAAGCATTCCAATTCCAAATTCTTTAAAGTTACAAACCAAAAGGAAAATGCAATGCAAAATGAATTAAAGTTACAACTCAAAAGAAAATCCAATTCAAAGTTAATTAAAGTTACAAACTAAAAGGAAATGCAATGCACCAATGTTACAAACTAAAGTTACAATGTCACATCCCGGATCGGCTCCGCCGTAGCACGATATTGTCCGCTTTGGGCCCCCCTCTCTGGCCCTCACGGTTTTGTTTCTGGGAGCTCACTACCAACTTCCCAGTGGGTCACCCATCCTGGGATTGCTCTCGCCCCCAACTCGCTTAACTTCGGAGTTCCTACAACTCCGAAGCCAGTGAGCTCCCAAAAGGCCTCGTGCTATATGGATGCGGGTGTGTACATATAAGGCACATCACCCACTCTCCGTTGGTCGATGTGGGATCTCACA